CTCCTCCGTCCCTCCACGGAGATGCTAAAAGATGCCGCTCGTCTGCGCCTCCTCAGCGGGCAGATGTTCTCCAGCAACTCTGGGCGCGTGGATGCACTTTTTCTAGCAAAGGAGAGCAAACGCCGAATGTTGTGAGTCTCCATGTTTCTTCTGCCCCCTCCCCGTTTTGTACACCGATGGGAATCATGAATCGTACCACGAGCGTGTTTTGCGGGGCAAAGGGTTGCCCGTTCTTGGCATGGACTGAGGGCGCTCGGTGCGCCCAAAGCCGAATTGAATGTATCGTACTTGGGTGACACTTCTGGCTCTGGAGCCGCATTCCCTCTCCCCCCAAGCTGCCAGTGATGGTGCTGCCTGAACAGTAGCAAACATCACGCGCCATCGGGGCACAACTGCTTTTGTGTGTGTGCGTGAGAGTGTGAAACTGTCTTTTGAAACAAGGAAGCTGATGATAGATGTTGTCTTCTGCTCTACATCAGAGCTCTGGTGTTCATAGCACATTCTCCGTTCTTTGGGGCCGCATCCTTATGTGCTTTTTTGTGTGTGTGACGCTGCGTGCGTGTACGCGCACAGGCACCTGCTTGAACAGGTTTTGTTTTGCTCGCAAGGACCTTTTTTTGTTTACAGTCCATCCCGAGTCCTGGGGGGCTGCTTGTACACAGGGTACTCAGCATCTGCGAAGGGTTGCGCGTGCTGTGGGGCGGTCCTGCAGCCTTCCGACTCGACGGACCAGACCATCCCGTGTGCCCACACGCCCTCCTCTTCCGTTGCTCCCCTGCCTGCCTGCCTGCCAGCCAAGATTTTTCCCTCGCAAAGGTGGGAGGACACAGAAGGCCTTCTGCAAATGCGCCTGGCATCTCGTGAGTGCCCGAGAAGGGCGTGGATCTGCTCCTTTGAAAAAGCTTCTCGCAAACATTTGGCGGCACGAAGGACTCCGGAGCGCCAGATGCCACTTGCGTACTTGCTGTGTGTTTTTAGTGGGGGCGGGAGAAAGGGGGCACCCCAAATCAGCCCCTCTCTTGATTGCAGCAGGATCAAACCCCTGCATGGTTGTGACCAAATGTTGAAAGACTTGCTTGGGTGTTTCTGCCTTACGCCAAGCCAGGTAAGACTCCAAACCGGGACTGAAGGATTGTGTGCGTGCATGCGTGTGCACGTGTGCAAGAGAATTCCAATAATCTTGGTAACTGATACTGTGATGTTTGGATGGTGGCTGGTTTGCAGGACAGAAGCAAAAGGACACCTTGCTCTCCCCCGAGGGCGGAAGGCTGGTCTTGCTGGGACGCGCGGCCCTCCCTCCCCCCTCCCTCCCCACCAATCGCCAGCCCTTTGCAGTATTGATGCCCTTGGGGGTCGCTGCCTCTGGCCCGCCCCCTCCCCCTCCCCCAAGAGGTGAGCTGGAGCTTGCCACGGCCTGGCTCTGGCTCGGCTGGTGGCCGCGGAGCGTCCTTCGGCCGTGTCGCCCCCAGAATGTACGCGGGGAAGCCCTTCTGTTCTGCGCTGGCCTTTCGGCCAGGGGCTGCCCGTCAATCACTGGCTTTGCTTGCAAAGTGGCTCTGGGGGGGGCCTCCCTCCTGCCGCCCCCCTCCCCCCCAATCGCCAGCCCTTTGCAGTATTGATGCCCTTGGGGGTCGCTGCCTCTGGCCCGCCC